AAAAAAAAGACATAATATGCTTGTATTGTAGATTTTTATTATTAAAATGGTTGATTAACTGTGCATCTGTGACTATACTTTTTTTAATTTAATTGTAAGTACAAGGTGAACCTATTTTGGATTATTTCAAAATATTGGGGAAAAATTCCAACGACTCATTATTGTCCTATGATTTTTATAATTTCCGCCCCCCCCTTAAAAGTCAGTTATAACCGCCACTGCAAGTCAATGAGAACTAAGAAGTAAGTATAAAGCGTTTTTATTATATATTAAATTGAGTACCTATATATAATAATTAAACTTAGGCATATTTTTTAATTTTTTTTATTAGAAATAAGCCTCGGCAGCGGAGGCCATTGGTTGACATAGTTTACATTGTTTAGGAAGAATTATTATATACATTATTTACATACACATATTACACATATTACAACATAATAGATTATAAGCTATTAATAAGGTTGGTCTTGGTCAAAAAGGACATGATGCGACTTATGTTGTCTGGGTGGAGGGCTTCCGATGTAATATTTGATACCTCAGCTTCACGTTTATCCGATTCAAAGGAACGGCATTCAGATATAATATGATAGAATTGATAGATTGATAGGTGTTAAATATGCACGTAAATTCTGGAGACCTCTCTATTCTGTTTTATGTATGATGCTTTTTCGATACTATTTTTTTTTTTTTTTTATATAGATAAAATGATATAATTTTTTCATCAAGGATATAAATCTCCAAGGGCCTAACACTTAGACTTTCAATGAAAATCGATAAAATGAATCAATTAATGAAAAAAATGTGATCTTACAGTTTTCATATCTATTTGAATGTTAGCTTTTCTAATTATCTGTACCTATGATTGTTTTCAAATTGTCCGTGAGAGGCAATCACCCTCACTATAAATGTTTTTTTTTTTTTGGTTAACTATAAGAGATAAAATCCTAATGTTTAAGAATAGTTGTTGATTGATGGCTCATGAGTCATGGGTACGTTGGTAGGTGGATGGATGGGTGGGAGGGTTGCTATCGACAAATTTACTTGTTCCTGATAATATTTAAGTACGCTATGCCACTGGTCTATAGCTAGCATACACATAATTTTATATACATATAATTATTCACTGTTGAAGTCATTTGATTAGGTATAAACTATAAATTAAATCGTTCATATTATCTAATGAAAAATGAATAAATTATATTATTTGCATTATATTGAAAGTAGTTAAATGTATGATTTTTTTTAAATAGTATGTCTATGYCCTATGTATAATTAAATAGTTTGAACACTTAGATATCACTTTAATATGCCTACTTATTTTATATAATATATAGATACTATAGAACATATACCTACATACATATATACAAAGTTTATCATAAAAAAACAAAACGGATAATACCTATAAGATACTTGAAATTTCCAACAAATGTTTAATAATTGCATTTTCTATACATGATACAATTTTCAAAATTATTTATTACTTTTTGAGTTCTTTAAATACGTATGATATTTTTAATTTTTAAATGTTTCTCTTAAATGTCGATATTAAAAACATTTTATGGAGTCAAAAAGCTCGAAAATTCAATTCATGGTTCCTYATAACAATATTAAAATATTAAAAACAAGTTCGAGTTTTTATAACCATTTTAGGTTTAAATTTTGTCGAATTCATATCAAGCAGGTAAACATTTTAAGTTCATATATTTGAATGAATTTAGATATTTTAAAGAAGAATAACGACTGAAGTTGTTTTGTTACAATTAAAAAATATAACAATTTAACGTATACTCGTATTATTATATTTCATAMAACGAGATATTTCGAAAATGCAATATTTCGGCAAAAGTGAATTGAATTTACTGTATACGAGTATACGTGTGAAGTACGAATTAAAATAGAAAAATAAATTATTTTAATAGCAATATTAATTTGTTTTATATAATTTATTTAGTAATATGTGCTCACAAGTTACAAACCGTATTCGTTCACAGTAATTTTTCGTATRCAATGATATAATATTAATAAATATATCATTGAATCTAAATTTAACATCCATTACACTGGCCAATGAGGAACCTAATGTCTACTGTCAACAGCAGAGCGGTACCAACTTGCCCACCTTTTTTTCTTTAGTAAATTTCTCAATGTAAATTATGATTCTATTAGATTTAGAATATAAATAAATTACTAAAYGTTTAATATTATAATACTATATTCCATGAAAATACCCCGATGGTGGCTCAGGAAACGTGGCTCCCACTGTCAGGTCTGTTACCCCTTAATCCAGGCCTGTATGATATTATGTATGGAGCAGAGAAATGTATATTATAATACAATAAATTATAGGACATAGGTAGTATTAACAAAACACAATATTGATATATATAAATATAAATATTTTAAAATGCATGTCTATATTAATAAATTATACAGGTAAAATTATCGTAAAATGTACAAATAAATAATAAATAAATATTCTACAGAGTTAACACTTTAACAGGAATAATAAGTATAAATCTACTTATGTATAATACGATACGTAAATATTATTATTATCATGACATAAAATTGTCATTGCAAAGGTTATGTTAAGTTAAAATTTACAATAAATCAAATTAATATTACATCAGCAAGCGCGTTTTGAGTGTTTTGAAACATATTCCAATGTATGTTTGGTAAGTAAAGAAAAAGTTTAAGTTGTTTTGAGGTACAAAACATATTATATAGGTAGGCCCTATGTGGCTAATCGGGTATGCATATATCATTAGCTTAAACCTGATTTCAGGTAAATTATACAGTATAATGCATGATTTTATACAATCGACGAAAACCCGCAARCGCAATTTGGCCAAGTGGTGGAATGATATATTTATATAATGTACTACCCACGAAAATAATTTATACACAAAAATATGTTCCCCGGGTTGTTATTTTTGTACATTTTAATTGTATCTAGTGCAGCGTAGTTCAATATTTTTGCAGCTCGGCCGTCGTATTATCGTGTACCGTGTACCCCATATAGATATGACCATAAATAATATATATATATATCTCAAACATAATATTCAGCCGCGAACACAAAAATATTTCATAATATGCGGTGAACACGTTCGATCTCAGGTCCCTTATCGAAGGTCATTCGCCTTCAACACACGAATGACAACTGGTCGGAACGTCCGATCACGGAGCAATCCCTCGTACAACACATCAGCATCATGACATTTATTTAGGTATATGGTTCAAGGACGTCCGATAGCGATATTTTATACGCCATCGCTCTACTCGTATAATAATATTTGTACATCATAATATTATTACTAATTTATATTACCTACGCTAAATTATATAATCGTACACTTGTTTAAGCATACATATTATATATATATATATATATATATATGTACATAATATAAAGTCGTATAAATATCCTGCAGTGTTTAATCGCGATCCTTCCGCGTTCGAATCGACGCGAAAAAACTGCTGCTAACCTGATCCGTGTAGTCATGACGTGTTATGTAGGCACGTCCGGTGGCGGCGGGCGATCAGTGGACGTATTCGTTGACGGTGGTGTAGTGTTGGCTATCGACGATGACACCATGGTGGTGGCCGACGACGGTCACGGGCACGGACGCGCCGATAGGTGTTAACGCGTGGTACGCGGCCACGGCATGATGGTCGTCGTGGTGGCCAGTGGCGCTCATGAGCATGGCCGCGGGCGGCGTATATCCGCCGCCGCCTGCTTGATGCGCCAGCTGCATCCGGTCGCTCTCGTTCGAACTGGAGGAGCTGGAGGCAGAGCTGTACGGCCGCGCGCACGTCTGGTCGTAATGGTAGAAAAGTTCTGGATAGTTGAAATCCTCGGGCGTRGTGTACGTGGTGTTCGCCGGTATCATGCCTAGGTGAGGTGGGTGATGGTGGCCTGTGCCGTCACCGACGCCGACGGGGCCGTTGACCAGCGATTGCGGTTCCTGTATATCAGAAACGCAAAAMGGTTGATTAATTATTGTATAATATATTATGTACCATTAAGTACACACGATATCATTATATTTTAATTTTTAATCAACGACGAGTGTGTAATAATTGTTTACAATATCGCCTATACTGTGTAAAACCACTTAACGTTTTTGAAAAAAAAAAAGGTCTAGAACATAATATGTTCTTTAATGTTATTAAAACATTGACATAGTATGTACCTATTATGCAATATGCAACCTATAGTTAGAGTTAGGTAAATATATAGACGACAGATGGACTAATATCATAATTATTAACTATATATTGTTTAGTATTAGGTGAAGAAGTGCAGAAGATTTCTGATGTTAATTACTTGTGCTATTATACTGCTATGTAAATTCGTTTGTTAAGTATTGTGTTTAAATGTTTTTCATGTTTTTCATGTTTTTCATGTTTTTCATTAATAAACGTTGGAAGCAGAGGAGTAGTATTGTGCAAACAGACCCTCCTCTGCTGTCGGTTCTAAATCGGAAAAAAAATAGACTGCAGATAACTGGAAGGTGTTATACTGTGTCATCTGTCATCTATACAGTAGGTTGTACGAACCATCATAACTCATAATATTTATACTAACAACACCTATAAGTTGGAGCTCAATGAAGGAGTCAGTTTATCAAAAACCAACAAAATTTAATGGAAAAATGAAAATATTCCATTCTTTAATAGTTATTAAAAATGCATACCTATCCGTATAATAATCGATAACGATTTATTCTACGGATTTTCTAAATATTTTGGGTAGAATGGGTAGGGGACTTTTTAACGTGTGTAAACCATGTTTTAACAACTCTTTTCCTGCATATATTTCGCTACATATAACAATAAGAAACATGCTTTATCGAGTTTATAATATTATATTATAAACTCGAGTGCACATAATATTATGTTTATATACAAGCCATTATACAAGGGTGAGAAATTCGTCTCTAACGTGTGTACTTGTACAACGCCAAAACATTGTTAAAAACTCGTGAAGCACGTGAAATGTCTCCGGTGAAGGGTATATTGTCCCTCGAACAACGTAGTTTCCTACCAACCCTATAAACCCAAGCCCCTTAACCACGAATTTTCGCTTTRRGGATCACCGGTGGCGGTATGACTGTGGTGAGATAGTGACGACGATTATATTACGACATAACATAATGTTTAAAATTTAAATAGGCATACGATTTGTAATACACAAGAGTATCAAAATATTTGAAAATCAACAGGACTGCAGCCTTTTAATTTTAACGATATGGTGTTATATGTGTGATATAGTGTACATACTAATACGTAATACATAGTAATATAGTATACTTACTAATAAGTATATTTTGTTGTTATAGAGAAAAACACGGGGCTGTATAAWAATGATTATTTTTGTCAATTTTGTTCAAATAAGCATTATAAAACAATATAATGTGCTAYCAGTCTCTGGCTGTGTGCATAGCAATTAAAAATAAGTAGGAACATCAAAGGAAGTTTCAAATTTCAAGTTAAAATTTTACCATTTTTCATYTAGTCACTTTTCGTGTGTATATAGGTAGTAAGTACATATATATGTCCCTAATCCATATATTATGGGCTCATAAAACATTATATTATATTGTATGTAATAAGTGGAATAAGATGATTTTTTTGTTTTTTACACTTACGCTGTTACTGCTCACGTAGTCATTGTAAATTCCCCCACTAGAATCACTGTACTCTTCGTCGGTGACCACCGGTGGCCTGTGATACCTGTGATTTTGGTTCGATTGTCTTTGGTTTTGTTGCGCTTTGCTGGACTTGTTTTGAATTGCCGCGTCTTCATTGCCGTTCTGTGATGTCGCGCAACCGTTGTTGCACACGGACAGGCAGACATCTTTCATTTCGGACTCACTACAGAAAAATCAAGTAAGTTMATTATATAGCTCCGTCAATCATGTATTCAAATTTCAAATAAATATTTAATGTACTCACCTCAGTACGTAATTTACGCTAACTATGCAATGGGGCCTCGAGGATCTACTATTATGGACTATAGTGGCATAACTTTGAACCCACACCCAACCACCGTCTTTGGCCAACAGCCTGTAGTATTTCGTGGTGACTTGGCCTTTCAATAACACTGAAACGATCAAAATAATAATTATTTATGGCAAATTTAACGGGTATTTTACATTATTTACGTGTGTGATGCGAGAGTTTCATGTTATGAATATCATTGCCATGTATATAATGGTAGAGTGTCTTTTCAATTAAATCCTGAGGCTCGTATCCTGTCAGCTGAGATACTCTGTAATTTAATAATTAAATAAAATACCATAATTTTTACTCAAAGTTACATGATCTAAAATAATATAGAAAATCAAACAAAAAGCGTGCGTTGAAAAAATAGCAAAATAGCTAACTTGATTTACCTGGCATCTAGAAATATGAGCTTCAAGTCCAAACTCGCACGGAACATAAACATATTCGAATGCAATTTAATCTCTGTGATGGCATGTGGAGGTAACGAATGACCAACTGCTACTAGGCCAACAGTTTCTACTCCGGGCATTCCGGCTGGGTATTGTCTCACTTTTAAGTAACCAGAACAGTGTATAACCTATATATWTAATTAACACAAAAAATATGTATGGTTTAATTAATAATTTAGTTATAATTAGAGTAGTATAGACTATTAGACTATATAATATTGGTAATAATTATACTTATATTGGCTAAAAAATATTCGTTGTAAATATTCGCTAAATACCAACTTGTTTTTATAAATAATTAAATATTAAATATAAAACCCGGGTTTTCAACCTAGACCAGCTTTTCAAATCCKCCCACGGTTCCCGCARTTAATTTTTAAACAACATATATTAATACATGAATTATTAAAAATAATTATTATAAATCTTTAATTACATTTCTTCTCTAACCCTATCTTTTTCCCAAGTGTATCACCATAAAAATGGTTGGAGACCCCTGGTATAAAATATTACAACCAATATGATTTAATTATTAACATTCAAACTGTATATATTTTACATTAAAATCTTTTAGAAATTAAATTACAATTGATAATTGACAAACTACCGATAAATAATTATATCAATTTTTAAATGTAGTTAATAAATATAAATACAAATATAATATCATGATTTCATTTTTTAAGGCTAATTATCAAACAAAACATGCACACGCTCATACCTATGACATATATGAAGTGTGTGTATACAATATGATACTTTATTCGTGTAAACGAACGCAAACGAATATAGTTTACATTTACTTTAGAAATATGATCCTCTTGGGTGTTCGACAAAAATTCAATATGACAATATCGAAACGGATGTATACTTATAGATGTCTAAACAAATACGACCATTGATAGAGTCGTATAATATATAGGTACCTACTACAGCAATAAGCACTAGTCACTAATACTTACAAACACAATAATATTTTTTACATATGTGTGTGTGTATATGTGAATGCGTGTTATTATATTATGTTGTTGAAAAAATACCATTATAAAATATATATATATAATATATAGGTTTACATATATACATATACTTTATTATATTATACTACATTGGTATATGAAAAAAAACAACAACATAAGACCTGTTCTAAAGGTCGTGGCTGCATCATATAGCCACATGTGTTATAATAGGCTAGGTAATATAATGTGCACGTTGAGAAGGTGTCAAGAAGTCCATTCATAATAGCCGAGACGTGACCACAACCAAAAATACAAGATTTAAGTATTAGAATAAATTAAATGCGGGTCTCTTCACAGGTGTGAGATATTTTTTTCTTCGCCTCCACCTCTCTGTCTTCCATTTCGAAAAATATACCCAAAAAATTCCAAAATGTACCTCCGGCACCTGGGACAATAGATTCTGAATAGTAATAAAAATCATAGGTATTCTCCGTGTCTCAGACACGTTGGAGCCGATCGTGAGGTATCAATAAGCGGTCGGGATTAGAGACTATTATAATAAGTAGGTACTGTGTAGTGGTACCTACGACGAATGCGACCGGTTCGCGTAATCAATCTTCGGCTATCGACACCACATGTGGAGTGTATAGGTTGTTTTAAAACGTTTTCACTCTTGCATTCGACATGCTTAGACTTGGACACGTTTCGGAAAACTCACCTATAGTGAGGACGCTCGTAATATTACGTTACACAATGGAAAGGATTTGAAAATTCCTGTACGTTATTCTTACTTTGAAATACAATTCTCCAGAACGTGACTACATATTGCGATTCAAATTTTCGTGTAGGTTAAATGCGTCGTGTACACACATATATATATATATATATATATATATGTATTATCACACCTGCAAATGTGTACCAACTACCAATATGTATCAATATTATATAATATACGGCTAAATGCCTAAAATGTATGTATATAGGTGCGTTGTTAAAAGAACGCTACAACCGCGAGCGTTGTCTCCATCTCACAAGCGTACAAAATACCAAATTGTGCGTTTTCAATAATCCACTTACACCTATTATATTTAATATCAGAGTGATTAAAATTCACCATTCACTAAACACAAATTTAAGAATTTTACCCAAGTAAATCTCATAGTTTTTTTTTTTATATTTTAATTTAAAAGAGAGGTACAAAAATGCTGATTTTAAGATGTATTAGGAATTTAACGTTTCTAAATACTCATAAATTCTTTTAAAATTTGATAATATTAGGTACAACTTACTATAACACGACAGAGTTAAATKGATTATTCAAGGCTTTCAATTTGCTATGTTATACCTTATGCATTTAGTAAGTACTAGCATCCACAATAACATTGCGTATAATATATTCTATAATCAAATATTTATGTACGATATGATAATATTTTAATTTTTAATAGTTATACAGCAAAAAATCTTGTACTTAATGACATTTTGTACAGGGAACATGATTGATAACTCGTAACATAATAGTCATAGACCTATTAACTAGTTAATAGGTCTATGATACTAATATAATGATGTATACATGCACTGTAATGCAGTTGTAATTAATAAGTATCTATATTCTATGTATACTGTATGTCTGTATAGGTTGTAGCCTTGTATAACACAATTTTAATGTACTTTATCCTATTTCTATWATGTTAACAATGTTTATACTACCGATTATACTGTTAGGTAAGCGTACGTAATTTTTTTTGCCGATGTTGCTATAATTTCCCCTTTCCCTGCAGAGTGAGCCATAATAGAAAACATTGCATAATATCGTATATACTATTTTACTTCTAATCATCGTCAACATTATCTGATCCGGGCTAATCTTTTACAGTATTTATTTTTATTTAATTATAAAAAAATGTAGTAAAACCACAGATATAGATAATAAACTAGATTGCTAATTAGTGATAACAGTCGACGCCAAAAAAAGTTATGTTGGTTGTGGGCTCTGTAGTGTTATCATAATAATATGGTTAACGTGATACCTAATATATCATTTGGCGGGTATTTAAAATCCAATCATAAATATATTTTAAAMATWTATATTGAAAAATGAATTATACATGTAGGTATCATGTATAATATACCTATATATAATATACCTATCATTAATTAAAATGAAATTAAAATATGATTGTATAAAAAATAAGATGTGTAAGATTTGATGTCTCAAATAACAAAAATGACCATGACTATTGTCTAAAAATAAAAAAGCATTTAATAACTTGATAAATGTAAAAAATCGAGGAGGTCTTCAACTAGCATCTGATAGTGTTTTCAAAATTGTCAAACTAACTGAACAATACTTTAGGTGTATAATTATTGACAAAAGACAATTACTTAACAAATAAATGTTTTGAAGACACACTGATGTGCATTCACGTCCATACAAGATAAATATTATTAATCTATAAAGTCGTATGTATTTAAATATTCGTACACATTCTTACAGAAAAATTTTAAGTTCTGAAAGCTTCAGTCAACAAAAGACAAAAGTTACATAAGTCAATCTTGTTTAATAAATTGTAGTTATACATTTTTTGTTCATTGGAAATCGATAAATATTACCTATGTATTATATTGCTTATAATAAAATTATATAGTTCAAAGTTTTTTCTATGGGTAAATTAAGTATATGATAATGATGTATGAATATTGAATTTTGAATAATGATTGAAAATATTTCTGAGTTCATGAACCATAATAATAATATTAATTATTTTATATATTTAGTATTATCATAGAATAATATGTTATTTATCACAACGATAAGAATTGATAAAATACCAAAACTCACAAGCAACACGGCGGAAAATCGACGTCTTCCGGCTTGCTTGTCAATTTTTACAAGTTAGCAATCTAATTTATTATCTATATMTGTGAGTAAAACTGCCCATGTTTGTATCACGTATATAATATGTGATATTGTGATGGATAAAATTTGCTTATTTTCATTTATCAAACAAAGTAACTAAACAATGATTTCAACAAATTCGTAATTTAGATTACCTAAATTAGTATTATATTGTATGGTTATTATATAGTGCAAAATATAGRTAGTCATTACAACCATTTATTTGTAAATATTTTGATATCTTAAACAAATTTGACAAAATAAAAAGAAAGGTATTTTAAAAACCATATATTATCATATTAAACACATATTAATTCTAATCATAGTATTGATAAAAACGCACGATCAAATATTATTTTTATTTTCAGRTTAATAAAACAGCACTTTATAAAATCAAAGATTAAAATTCACAATCATCTATTATAGTCTCTACGTCTACATTATACACATTAATAAGATGTCTTAATATTTGATATAACATTAAATGAATAAATATATATTTTTGCGAATACTGTATTATTTAATTTGTTAGACATCGTTTAATAACGAGTGGCGAGTATATCTCTAGTAAAATATGAAAAAAGTTTGTTTAAGTTACATAATATTATGCACTTAGCGGCAAGCAACTATACTGGCTGTACTACTAAATAATATATATATATTATTTTAATCGTACACAAGCCTACTCATTTATAGCTGTTATTAGAAATTTTGTATTATATAACTATTTATATATCCAAGATGTAAAAAATATAAGTAACAGATCAGTTTTTTTTTGATAATATATTCGTAAAGGCATATTAAAAAGCTATAAAAATAATTATTCTATACAGATATTAGTAAATATTTTCACAGCTATAATATATATTTTACATATACGTATACCTATTACCTACATAATATGCATTTGAAATATTTAAAACATGCACATAATATTATATATTATAATTTATAATAATTATATAATTTTTTTTTTTTATTGATCTATTTGTTACAACCCGGCATCTTAGGCCATTAGTTACAGTTTTTTTTTTTTTTTTTGTGATAGTTTGTTACAATAATTATATTATGTAGCTACGAACTACAATTATGCTCGAAATAAATAATATATAAATACATTATGTTTTTTATGGAAACCATTGTTTTTGAATTTTACTTATTTTATATATTATATAGTCATATGGATTATGCAATGATACATCGCATCGTTTCGTAAACTATGAGTTTGTATGGATACTGCAGACTGCAAGGTGGACGCGGAGAT